TGCCTCAGCCTCCCGAGTAGCTGGGACTACAGGCGCCCGCCACCATGCCCGGCTAATTTTTTGTATTTTTAGTAGAGATGGGGTTTCACCATGTTAGCCAGGATGGTTTCGATCTCCTGACCTCGTGATCTGCCTCCCAAAGTGCTGGGATTACAGGTGTGAGCCACCACGCCCGGCCTTTATTTACTTATTTATTTAGTTAGTTATTTTTTGAGACAGAGTCTTGCACTGTCACCCAGGCTGGAATGCAATCGTGCAATCTCTGTTCACTGCAACCTCCGCTTCCCAGGTTCAAGCAATTCTCCTGCCTCAGCCTCCTGAGTAGCTGGGATTACGGGCGCCCTCTACCACACCTGGCTAATTTTTTTGTATTTTTAGTAGAGACAGGGTTTCACCATTTTGGCCAGGCTGGGCTCGAACTCCTGACCTTGTGATCTGCCTGCCTTGGACTCCAAAAGTGCAGAGATTACAGGCGTGAGCCACCGCGCCTGGCATTCTACCCTACCCTGCCCTACGCTTTCTTTTTTTTGAGATAGAGTTTTGCTCTTTTTGCCCAGGCAGGAGTGCAATGGTGCGATCTCGGCTCACTGCAACCTCCTGGGTTCAAGTGATTCTCCTGCCTCAGCCTCCCGAGTAGCTGGGATTCACCTTTGCTTCAGAAAGGACAACTCCCCAACTTGCAAACATGGCCCTGAGTAGCTCTCATCTGTGGGCTGCACCCTACCCACATCCTACCACCTGAATTTGCTGGGCAGGCTGGAGGGACAGGGGCCCAAGGCCCGGCCTCCCCCTCCACCACTCACCTGCACGGGCCGTCCGGCCAACTCGGTGGATGTAGATCTTGGGGAGCCCGGGGGTGTTGTGGTTGATGACCACCTGTACCGTAGGGATATCCAGGCCCCTGGAGGGAGATGTGGCTGGTCAGCTCCACTGTCCATGTGGGGAAACCGAGGTTAGGACTCACCCAGGGTCACTCAGCAGGGAGGCTGGGGCTGCCTGACATGCCTGAGGCCAGCCTTCTCATCCGTGGGGCCTTGTAGTAAACGAGGGAGTGCCCTTGGCAGGGGACTGGGGGCTGCTCACCGGGAGGCCACGTCTGTTGCGATCAGGATCCGGTAGATGCTGGACTTGAACTTGGCTAGGGCGGCAAAGCGTTCTTTCTGCACGGGGTTGGGAAGAAAACTGGGAATGAGTGAAGGCAGGGTTTTCCGTGTGAGGCCTGGGGACAGGGTGGAGGCCGGGACAGTCCCCCAGCCGTCCACTGAGGAAGGTGGCCATGAGAAGTCAGACCAGGACAAATGAATGACGGCTAAAAGAGATGTGGTCGGGGAGGGCCTCGTGAGCTGCGATATTTTGGGACCAGAAGAGACCAGGCGGCAGGAAGAAGGCGCCCGGCAGAAGGAAGGATCGGGGCTGATGTCTGAGGCCGGGAGGTGTCCCAGGGTGAGGCTGGCGGGCCCCGGGGTCGCCTCACCTGCTTCATCATGGAGTGCAGAGCCACGGTGGGGAAGCTGAATTTGCGCAGCATCATGCACAGGATCTGGCAGGTCCTGGCGGGAAGGACGGGCCTGTCAATCCCTCCAGCTCTCGGGTTCTGGGAAGGTGTTCCTGCCCCCACCCGCCCCTGAGACACCTAGCACAGTGGCCCCATGAAGCTTACAACGGAGAGGCAGCAGGCCAAGCACGGTGGCTCACGCCTGTAATCCCAGCACTTTGGGAGGCTGAGGCGGGTGGATCGCTTGAGGCCAGGAGTTCAAGGCCAGCCTGTCCAACATGGCAAAACCCCGTCTCTACTAAAAATACAAAAATTAGCCGGGCATGGTGGTGCATGACTGTAGCCCCAGCTACTCAGGAGGCTGAGGCAGGAGAATTTAACCCAGGAGGCAAGGTTGCGGTGAGGTGAGAGTGCGCCATTGCACTCCAGCCTGGGGGACAGCATGAAACTCTCAAAAAAAAAAAGAGGCAGGATGAGGGTTGGCACAGGCCTTGCCTGCCTGATATACTCTCTGCTGATCCCTCCCTGGAGCTGGAACTGACAAGAGTTGGCCCTGGGACTGCAGGGCTGGAAACTGACTTGCTAGGGGTGGTCGCTGTTACCAAGAAGGCCGAGAAGGAGCCAGCAGAGGAAAACAGAGTAGAAACAAGGGCACAGGGAGAAAGGATGGGGACCATCACGTAAGCTGCTGGATCCTGCCGTGCCTGACAGCCACACTATAGCCAAACTTTTCTCTTTTTTTTTTTCCTGAGACAGTCTCGCTCTGTCCCCCAAGATGGAGTGCAGTGGCACCATCTCGGCTCACTGTAACCTCTACCTATCAGGTTCAAGTGATTCACCCACCTCATCCTCCACAGTAGTTGGGACTACAGGTGCTCACCACCGTGCCTGGCTAATTTTTGTATTTTCAGTCGAGATAAAGTTTCACCACATTGGGCAGGCTGGTCTCGAACTCCTGACCTCAGGTGATCCGCCTACCTCAGCCTCCCAGAGTGCCGGGATTACAGGCGGGAGCCACTGCGCCCAGTCCCAACTTTCCTCTTCTGGGAGGTAACACATTTAAAGCGCCTTGACTTCTGCCCTTCCATCCTGGCTCATGCTGGAAGTCTCCAGCTTCTCAGTGATCTTCCCAAACAGCTCAATGGAGAAGATGTGAACTGCCCTCCCCAGGGCTCTCTGTCTGCGCAGATGCACACCAGGCCTGTTAGTTGTCACAGCTTCCTCTGAGATGGGACTAGAGGCCCAGGAAAGCTCAGTGACACCCCCAGAACACAGCAAATGGGCTGCTCAAATAGACACTTGCAGGGGTTTCCTGGACCTTTCATCAAGGGCTGGTCTGAGGAACCCCAAAGCCCGGCTGCACCTTCAGATGGGGTGACCTTGGCTCCTTGAGGAAAGCCCCCGTGACCTCCAGGCTGAGCAGAGCTGAGACTGTGTCCCAGACCCAAGACGCTGGGCCACCTCCTCCTTTGAAGGGCGGTGGGAGGGGAGAGGCGAGCCCCGCTCACTTGCACGTGTTGGTGAAGATGATAATGGACCAGTCCTCATGCTCATCCTGGAAGCGCTGGATCAGGTGGACCAGGTAGGCGTCCTTGACCTTCTCGGGCACCAGCAGGTAGCGCTGGTCCAGCTGCTCCACGGTGCTCACCCTGGGGATGGACAGGCAGACCGCACGCCTCAGTGTCCCTGCCTGTAGGATGGAGCTGCCCTCCCCACACTGTCTGGGCTGCGGACTCACGGGGCCTGTGCCTCCCAGAAGAAGGGCTGGTTGGTGGCCAGGCCCTGTAGCTCCCGGAGTGTGTCGGTCAGCGTGGCGCTGAACAGCAGTGTCTGCCTGCGGGCCGGCACAGCCGCCAGGATAGCCTCCAGGTCGACGGTGAAGTCAGTGCAGCCCTGTTCCAGCAGCCGGTCTGCCTCGTCCATCACCTGCCATGCCAGTGGGGGCAGGGGTGAGGGTATCGTCCATGACCCCGGGTCTTGGCCACCCCTGAAACAGGCCTCTTTGAGAGGCGTGGACATGGATCCTAGGCCCTGGAGTACCCTCCTTCCAAGGGAGGCCTGCCCCTCACCCAAGTCTCAGCAAGGCCCTACCCCCAAATAACACTGCTAGGAATGGGCCTCCTCTTTTTGGTCCTTGAATGGTCCTTGTCACTGTTCCTAGCATTTTACTGGAAAGTCTAAGGAACATACGTTTCCTAAATGGAATAACATGGTGCCCCAGGCTCTGATGCTGGGACTGGAGGCTCCGAGCCCAGTTCCTGAAGTCTGCAGGGGCGGGGCGAACTCACCAGGAAGCGGATCTTCTTTATACTAAAAGTGTTGGAGCTGCGCAGGTGATCTGCCAGGCGCCCTGGTGTGGCGATGACCACATGCGGTTTCCGGGAGAGCTCCAGTGCCTGGGCCACCATGTCTGGGAGACAGAGTATGAGAGGCAGGGCTGGGCGGGTGGTCCAAAGCTGCTGAGGTCCCATGCTGGGGCTTCCCCCGCCTCCCAGCCCCCGTACCCATGCCACCGACGATGATGCAGTCTTTCAGCCCTAGAGGCTTCCCCAGGACCCGGAACTGCTCTGCGATCTGGTAGGCCAGCTCCCTGTGGGTGTGAAGGGGCCAGGCTGGGTCAGGTAGTGGTTCTGGGCCTGCCCCGCATTCCCCTCTCCAACCCCAGCATTCCTCCCTGAGCCCCCAGGCTCCTGACTTGCCCAGTCCTGTTCACAAAGGCTCTGATGCTGAGCCTTGGAGGCTGTTGTGGCCCCTGCCCCCTCACCAGGCTCAGCCTGGAACATCCCTCCTCATCAGCCCAACCCAAACTGGCCTCAGCATCTCTTCCTACCCCAAACCCGTGCCTTCCCCCAGTTTGCCTCTCAGCAGTGGCCTCACCACCAGCCAGTTGCCTCAGCCAGAGGGTCTCAAGCATCAGCCTCCTCTCCTCTTCTCTGTCCCCAGCCAACTCTGTCCTAGCCTCTCCCTGGCCCATGACCTTTGCTGCTCACATACCCCCAGAATCAATTCTAACCCTCCGCCTGGCATTCAAGGCCTTTCTCAAACTGGCTCCAATATGCCCAGGCCCCAATACCCTTTCTGCTGCCTGCCCCTTCCTCCCTTCCTCCCTTTCTCTCTTTCTCTCTTTCTGACGGAGTTTTGCTCTTGTTGCCCAGGCTACAGTGCAATGGCGCGATCTTGGCTCACCGCAACCTCCGCCTCCTGGGTTCAAGCAATTCTCCTGTCTTGGCCTCCCGAGTAGCAGGGATTACAAGCATGCACTACCATGCCCAGCTAATTTTTTTGTATTTTTAGTAACGATGGGGTTTCTCCATGTTGGTCAGGCTGGTCTCGAACTCCTGGCCTCAAGTGATCCGCTCACCTGGAGCTCCCAAAGTGCTGGGATTACAGGTGTGAGCCACTGCACCCGGGCCATCTTGTTTAATTCTGCAGGACCCCTAAGAAGCAGGTAGCAAGATTTTCATCCTCATCTCACACGTGGGAAACGGGCGCTCAGAGAGGGAAAGGTGCTTGCTCAAGAGAACACAGCTGGTTAACCCATACTCAGGAGGCCTGCTGGGGGCTCACCTGGTGGGTGTCAGGACGAGGCAGAAGATGCCATAGGGATCCTCAGAAAGCTTCTGCAAGATGGGAAGGACAAACGCTGCTGTCTTCCCACTGCCTGTCTTGGCACAGCCCAAGCAGTCTCGACCTGGGTTGAGGACAAAGCAGCATCAATACCCTCCATGTGTGGACAGCCATTCCACTGGGCACAGTGTACAACAGCTTACAAAGCGTTTAATGAGCAATCACTGTGCGTCAAGTCCTGTGTGCCAGTAAGCCTTTTCCATTCTGGGCATACTGACCACTTTCCACTGGCAACGGACAAATCCTAGGAAGGGGAGACCATTATCGTCTCCATTTAACAGAAAGGAAAACTGGGTTTCAGAGACCTGCCCAGGACACACAGCCAGTGAGGAGCAGGCTGGACTGGAACACATATCCATTTGACCTGAGATGCCCACAGCTTCCCACCACCTCATTCTAACTCCCTCCAGGAGCACATGAACTTGGGGAACCCAGAATTCCCTTCCCTCATAGGCATCTTGTGCTCCCTGCTGACCCCTTCATTTGTTTATTTAATCCCTGACTTGTCACATCTTGGGCTTCCTGTGGGCCTCTTTTTAATGGCCAAACTGGGTTGGGCTAGAGGAGCAGAGAGAAGACCTGCTCCTAGAGGAGCAATCACAGGACCAAGGAGTCCTGGATCTACCAGCAATTTTGACAGCCTCAACTTCTATTTGTAAAATAAAAATAGCAGTACCGGGTCTGCAGGATTTTGCGATACTATCGATTAGTCATTCATCAAACCCTCCCTGTGGTGAGACTATGAAAATTTCAGAGATTACATCAGTTGTGTACGGACATAAAGCAAGTCGGTCATGCAAGCTAAATGCCAACACTGTCCAGTCGGCCTCCGGAACCCCGGATCTCCTGTAACGCCGGAGGTTACCCCTCGCCTCGTGGAACCGGAATGAGCAAAGGTTGCGAGAAGGGAAAGGGGTCGAGAGGAGCGGAGACGCCTCTTGGGGAAGGCACCGAGCCATACTCACCCTCCAGGATGGCGGGAATGCAGCCGAGCTGCACGGGCGTGGGCTGCTTCAAACCCAGCTGCCGACATTGTGCCACTAGCCACGAGGACAGCCCGAGCTCCGCGAAGCCTGACATCCTTGTGACCAGCCGTGTGGGTGCCCGTGTGATCCGCGCTTCCGGCGCGCGCCGACGACGTCACGAGAAAACTCTTCCTGTTTATTGGATCTGCCTCCTGCGTGGTCCCACCTTCTCCAGCTCCCTCAGCCCATTCCCAGCCTCGACCGCATCCTTATCATGTTTCCCCGGATCCCATTGGCTTGCAGAAACACACTACAATTCCCGAGATGCCCTGCGTGACGCACTTACGTCTCCCGCCCCCTTGCTTATCATTGTGGAGCTTCCCATTGGCTTACTTCGCCGCCACTCGGAAAAAGTAAACTACATTTCCCAGCGTGCCCGTGAAGGTGTCTTGCTTCCGGCCGACGTGTCTTTCAGGAAGAGGAGCGGGTGAGAAGACAGCGACATGGCGCCTCCGGCCCCCGGCCCGGCGTCCGGCGGCTCCGGGGAGGTGGATGAGCTGTTCGACGTGAAGAACGCCTTCTACATCGGCAGCTACCAGCAGTGCATAAACGAGGCGCAGCGGGTGAAGGTGCGGCCGCGCAGGGGCGCGGGGACGCTGGGGGCGGAGGCGGAGGACGCTTCCTGGTGGCTGCGAGCCGTGTTCTGCATCTAAAAACTTTCCCTTTTCTTCTCGCGTTTTTTGGGCACTTCTTCACAGTTCAGTGAGGAGTAATCACTGTCCCATGACAGAACCCAGAGCAGTAACAGTTTACGGTACTGCTCACTCGTACAGCGCTCGCTCTGCGCCGTTGAAGGCGTTTTGAGTAAGGGAGGTGTTTATGCCACTGTAGTTACAGTAAGTGTTTTTTGTCCAGCCATACGTTCAGTTCCCGTGAGGTGGAGACTGTTGTTTATCCTCATTTTACGGATGAGAACCCTAAAGTTCAGAGAGGGACGTTTCCCTGCCCACCGATCCTGGTTATTTCTCTCAGAGCTTAACCATTCATTCATTCATCCTTCATTGAGCACTTTTATGGACGGGCACTGTATTCCGCTGGACTCAGAATGATAACACAGTTTCCCAGCTTAGTGGCTCAAACACCTTTAATTCCAGCGCTCTGGGAGGCCGAGGCGGCCGTATTGCATGCGCCCAGGAGTTCGAGACCAGCTTGGGCAACATGGAGAAACCCTGGGTGTACCAAAAATACAAAAATTAGCCGGGCGTGGTGGCGGGCACCTGTAATCCCAGCTACCGGGAGGCTGAGACAGGAGAATCGCTTGAACCCGGAGGCGGAGGTTGCAGTGAACCGAGATCGCGCCACTGCACCCCAGCCTGGGTGACAAAGTTGTAAGAATTAAAGAAAGAGGAAAGAAACACGAAAGGTGACTTGCCAGTCAAGACAAGTTTATTTTAGAGAAAACAAACCTGAGAGGCGCCTTCTGGCCGAGTTGGGTCAGAGGCACACTCTTTTACAGACTGAGTTTTTAAGGATTCAGGGTGAGAGAGTTTATCAGAGGCTTGAATTGCTTCTGTGTCTCTTTGTTGTGCTTATCTGGGAGGGAGAATTATGTGTCTGTTCCCATACGTCTTTCTTGGTTCTTTTTCCTTCTTTCTTTTTTTATTTTTTTTGAGATGGAGTCTAGCCGTGTCGCCAGGCTGGAGTGCAGTGGCGTGATCTCGGCTCACTGCAACCTCCGCCTCCCAGGGTCAAGCGACATAATCTCACTGTGTGTCACCCAGGCTGCAGTGCAGTGGCACAATCACAGCTCACTGCATCCTCCTCCTCCTGGGTTCAAGCAATTCTCCTCCCAAGTAGCTGGGATTACAGGTGCCCACCACCACACCCGTTTAATTTTTGTTTTTTGTTTTTGACGTGGAGTCTTGCTCTGTTGCCCAGGCTGAAGTGCAGTGGCATGATCCTGGCTCACCACAACCTCCGCCTCCCAGGTTCAAGCAGTTCTCCTGCATCAGCCTCCGGAGTAGCTGGGACTACAGGCGCATGCCATCACGCCCGGCTAATTTTTGTATTTTTACTAGTGATGGGGTTTCACTGTGTTGGCCAGGCTGGTCTCTAACTCCTGACCTTGAGACCCACCTGCCTCAGCCTCCCAAAGTGCTGTGATTACAGGCGTGGGCCACCGTGCCTGGCCAGGAATACTTTTTTTTTTTTTTTTTTGGAGACAGAGACTCCCTCTGTCACCCAGGCTGGAGTGCAGTGGCACAATCTCAGCACACTGCATCCTCTGCCTCCCGGGTTCAAGCGATTCTCCTGCCTCAGCCTCCTGAGTAGCTGGAATTACAGGTGCCTGCTACCATGCCCAGCTAATTTTTGTTTTTTGCTTTTTTGGTTTTTGTTTTTGAGATGGAGTCTTGCTCTGTTGCCCAGGCTGGAGTGTAGTGGCATGATCTCAGCTCACCACAACCTCCGCCTCCCAGGTTCAAGCGATTCTCCTGCCTCAGCCTCCCGAGTAGGTGGGATTACAGGCTTGTGCCACTACACCTGGCTAATTTTTGAGGAAGGATTGTGCTCCTCAACAGATGGTAGCCA